GCATGCCAGAGCCCCGCGTCCCGCGCGCAAGGCAGCAATCGGCGACCCCTGATTTCACGGGTGATCCCCCCCCTTCCACCCGCCCGCCCCGCCCACCCGCCCGCTGCCCGCGCCCCCCCCCTCCCCCCCTTTCGGACCCGTGGAAGCACTGGAACCAGCGAACATGATAGTTCGAGCCGGGGCGAACGCACGACGACCATGAGCATGAAGTTTTGTTTGTTTTCTGAAAGGGGGAAAGAAGGGGGGGGCGGGGGGCGAGGGTCAAGACATGCGACTCGAGCGAGCAGGCGCCCCCCCCCATTGCCCCACGAACCATTTGCATTGGAAAAGGGACGCGGCGCAATGGGCAGTTTGCCGCATGCGCGGGGGGGTGCCGCCTTGACGCGCGCCTTCCACTCGAAACGATCGTTTGCCGCGGCGCGACTGCCCGACGGGGCCCGGCCGCGACGTCGAGCACCCTTCTCGCCATTCCCCCCCAATACACACACACACACACGCACGCACACACACGCACGCGCACACACGCACACACAAACACACACACACACACACGCACACACACACACACACACACGCACACACACACACACACGCACGCACACGCACACGCACACGCACACACACGCGCACTAACACACACCACACACACACACGCCACACGCACACACACACACACACACGCACACACACACATACACACACACACACACGCACGCGCGCACGCACATACACGCCACCCCACCCCACCCCACCCCGCCCCGCCCCACCCCACCCCGCCCCACCTCCCCCCCATCCCCACCGCCCCCGCATCCCCCGCACGTCCTCAACCAAACGAACGAGCGATGTCGCGCGTTCCAGGGCGCCGCCAAGGGCCGCAGACTCCCGCCGCGCCCCGCGCGCGCGTTGCGCGGCGGGGGTTGCCGATGAATAACAAACGCCGCCCCCCTGCGCGAACCCTATCGCCGGCGCCCGCCGTTGACAAAAACGTCGCCCCTGTTTCGCGGCCGCTGCGCCTGGACCGCGACCGCCTGCGCTGGAACGACGAAGCCTGCTCGGATTGCCCGCGGCGCGCGGGCGCCGGCGCCCCGCGCGCGAAGCGGGATTTAGCGACCCCTGTTTGCCAGGGGTGGCATGCGCGGAGGGCGATTTCACTGCCCCTACCTAATGCGGACTCTTTGGGGCGCCGGGGGCAGCGCGCGAAATAATTGGGCCTGGCGGGGGGGGGGCGGAGCGGGGGGCGCGACGAGCATGAGTAGGGGGCTTTCGCGGGGGGCCGGGCAGGGCCCGAGGCGGACAGCTCGAACGAGCGAGCGCGACCCAATTGCCCTGCGCCCCTGTTGCGCTGGAAGCGCCAGCTGCGCAACGCAACGGGTGGCGGGTCGCGCAGGGCGCTGCCGCTCTGGCGCGCGAGTTCCACTCGAAGCGAACGCATCCTGGGGCGCACTTGCCAGACTGTGAATGGCTGGGGCGCCTACCATCATAACCCTCATCACCGCCTTCGCACGTCCTCTTCACCCCCCCAACCCCTCGCGCCCTCACTTCAAAAGCGGCGGGGGGAGCCCGATGACTCCCGCTGTGCCCCACGTGCTCTACATGGTGAGGATTGCCAATGAACCGGACAACGGCCGAATGACCCGCCGCGCGACCCCTGGCAGCCATGTCCCTCCTTAACAAAAACCTGCCCCCTTTTTGTGGCCGCCGCGCTCGCCGCCGCGAACGCCCGGACCCCTCTGGCTATCCCATCCCAGGTCGATGATCTTGCAACGAGGCAAGGCCTTCGCCGTGCGCGTGAGCATCGCGCGCAGCGCCTGTTCAGCCGCCGGGCCCAGAGCGATCTGGACGTTGTCTACCACGCAGGGGACAACAAGCTGGACATCAAGTCCGTCAACGAGCACGGCATCCAGATGGGTTTGAGCCGCGCCGGACACCCGACGCTCGAGATCACAGGCTTCACGCCAAGCTACGAGCCAACGTCGGACGTCTCGGACACCAAGACCGAGATCCGGCTGCATCCTTTTTCGACTTACCACGCTGAGACAGCCGTGGCCAGCGTCGCCAAGCCGGCACCGCCCGAGCGCTGCGAGAAAGGGGTCGCCTCGGAGGCCGACGAGTCTCAGTCGGAGACTGACTGTGACAAGCTCGACAGCGCTGAACTGTTCGAGCAGCAGGTGCGCCAGGCCATGCGCGCATGCATTCCATCGCGTCAGTCATCATCGGGGTCGGAGGATGAGGCATTGGGATTTATTCCTACGTCCGCCAGCGCAGCACAGATCATGCAAACCGATCACACAGGACGAAGAGCTAAACCAGACAGCGACCCTCAGCCACAACGTGTCCGATTTCAGCAGCAAGCAAGCGGTAGCGAGCTACGAGACCAGCCATCAGCACGGAGTCATCAAACGACATCATCACCGCAGCCATCCGGCTCGAACTCATCTCAGGCTCCAACAGCTTTTACGACGCGTGCCGTGGCAGATCCAGCCACCGCAGCTTTTCACGAACCAGCGGCCGGAATTCATGCCCCCGTCGCATCGGAAATGTACGACATCTCTCCCAGGGCGACGAACCCGGAGGCCAGCTGCTCGAGTGCGCCGACGCCGAGTACTTCCCACCTGCCGGCGATCTCCAGCATGCGGATGGGGGGCCGCAAGCTACGAGTTGGATGTGCGCGACGCGACGTGCGACCAGCTCCGCGTCATCCTGCGCGCGCTAAGGGCCGAGGGCCAGGGCGAGAAGGCGCAGGGCATCCCAGGGCTCGGCAAGATGCGCAAGCACGAGCTCCAGGAGTTGTGCAGGATGAAGGGAATCGATTTCGACCAGCACACCGCCGTGTCGGAGCTCAGGCAGCGCCTGAAGGGCTGGAAGGTCGAGAACGCGGTCAGCGGCGCCTCGAGCAACGTGGCCCATCCAAGCTCGCAGATCACGGGGAATGACAAGATGCGCCTCGGCAAGTACCCGACCGCGGATTACCGCTGGGTGCTCAAGAACGACCTGGGTCACGCGCGTTGGGCGGTGCTGGAGCTGGACAACGGCCGGGCGAGCCCGCTCCAGGCGCGCGTCGGCAGGTGGGTCAAGGCTCACGGCGTGAGGCGGCTCGAGGCAGAGAAACTCAAGACCACCATCGAGGCGGCGATGTCCGAGGAGGTAGTCCTGGACGACGAGTCGGCGACGCTGACGGCGACGATGCAGCGGGCCTCAGCAAGTCAAGGCAGCTGGGCGGGCCACCGTCGCCCGAGGCCGGTCGAGGAGCACGAGATGGACACCAGCGACCACGGCTTCCAGACGGCGGGCGAGACCGACCAGGAGACGAACGCCGCGTCTCCGCACGACAAGGCCTAGGCGGCGGCAGCCGCCAGGACCAGCCGCCAACTTCGGGCCGGCGGCCAGGCATCAAAAAGGGCAAGCGCGTCGGCCCACTCTACCAGGTCACGGGCTTGCTGAGCGCCTTCGCGTTTCAGGCGGTGCTCACGGCGGACTGGCTGTCCCGACCTCTCAAGCCGTTTGCTCTGCATGCGACGAGCGCCGCGCAGGATGTGGCGGGCCACATGAGGAACATCAACCACCGCCCGGAGCCACGGCGTGGACGTCGTGCAAGTGTTCGGAGGCGAGGGCGCTATTACCGAGGCGGCAGTGCGCCGCGACATGACAGCCACGGAGGTGATCGACCGTAAATACGGTTGGGACCTCCGCAAGCAGAAGGACCTCGAGATGACGTACGAGCGGTGCTACGCATCGAGGCCGAAGTTCCCGTCGATCGAGCTACCCTGCAACTACTACACGAACATTACGCACCTCAATTTCCGCACGCCGCAAGGGAAGCAGGTGCTACGGCGATTGTGGCGCGCGGAGCGGCCATTCCAAGTCTCCGCTCGAGAGCCCGGCCACCAGCCGGATCTGAACACAGCGTATTATGATGGAGCTACTGGCCGACAAGCGCGTGTACCAGGTGAGGTGCGATATGTGCGAGTACGGGGCTCAACACTACAAGACGGGGGGGCTCATCAAGCACCCTATCAAGCTGCTCGTTGCCCACAAGGAGTTCGAGCGGCTACGCCGCACCTGCAGCCGCACGCACCACAACCAGACGTTCGGTGACAACGTGGCGGTGCGGAAGTCTGGCGTTTCCCCAGCCAAGTTCTGCCGAGCGGTGGTGCGCATCGTCGAGCAGATCATCCTCCAGCAGGGTGGGCCTCGCGCCTCCCCGGTGGACTGCAGCGCTTCTTCCGTCGCCCTTCATCGCGACGGAGTTGAAGGAGCAGGCCGCCGTCTACGTGAACGACACCGCGTCCCTGGGAGAGACGGGCGAGCCTATTGGGGGCCTAGGCCCCATGGGCGGCGGGGGCGACTGCGCCGACACTCGCGACGTGAAGGCCGACGAGACTGTGCACGGCAGGATCGGGGTCGGCGCGGTCGCTTTCACCAAGAAAGCAGCAGCCTGCTGCAAGCCAGCCGAGCTAGCCATGCTCAAGAGACTCCACGTCAACTTGGGCCATCCGTCGAATGAAGACTTGGGCCGCAGTCTGCGACTCAAGGGCGCTAAGTCGGCCACCGTGCAGGCCGTCCAGGGGCTGATCTGCGGAGGGCGTCGCTCGCAGCAGCGCCCGAGCGCAAGGAGACCAGCGCACCTCCACATCGTGCAAGATTTCGGCGACGACGTGGGCTTCGATTGCTTCGAGCTCAAGGACGTCGGCGGCAAGAGCTACTGGTGCTTCAGCATCGTCGACTTGACCACTACCTTCCACGTCGCGACGCTGATCGGTCGCCACACCAGACAGGAGTTCGCTGCTGCCTTCGAGAGTTGCTGGGCCTCCTGGGCCAGCGTCCGGAACCGAGCCCACTTCGACATGGAGAGGGGGTTCGGCGGCGTTCTCAGCGAGCTGTTCCAATCTTTCGTCACGGTGCAGCTACCTATCGCGGGACAGGCCCACTGGTCGAGTGGAACGTCAGGGAGCCTGGTGGAAGGAGCTCGCTGCAAGGACGATCGATCACTCGTCGATCAGGGGCGAGGACGAGATGCGGACACTGGGCATCATGGCGTCAGGCGCGAAGAACTCGCTGAGGCGGCGGGCCGGCTTCAGCCCCGCGCAGTGGGCGCTGGGGCGCGATCCCAAGATGCCCGCCGACCTGGTGGACGACGCGGCCAAATACAGCGCCCGCAGTCTCGCCACCAATGACGAGAATATTCGCCGCCGATGTGCCATTCGGACGGCAGCGCGCGAGTCGTTCATGCGGATGCAGAATGACGACCAGCTGAGACGAGCTATGCTGGCTCGCGCTCGCGCCGTGGCCACGCCCTTGTCAGTGGGCGAGATGTGCTACATTTTCCGCCACGTCAAGAAGAAGGAGCAGAAGGAGCAGCACAACCGCAACGCCAAGGAGGGCATCTGGCGGGGGCCGTGCGTGGTCATCGGTCACCAAGGCAACAACGCCTGGGCATCGCTGGGAGGGCGCGCCATGCTGGTGGCCCCGGAGCACATCAAGGCGCTCGCTCCAGACGACGTCTGGTTCCCGAACGGTCGGGGCGAGATCGGCCAGGCCGCGGCCGAGCTCAACGGGGCTCGCGACTCACTCGAGCTGGAGGAGGCCTCGTTGGAGGACATCCGCCCCGAGCCGGGCAAGCCCGAGGTCCAGCCAGACGAGATGGAGCAGGCGTGGCGGGAGTTCATCGACAGCCCAGACGACGACGACCTGAGGCTGAACGTTCCTGAGGACCCGAAGCCCCAAGAGCAGATCGAGGTGCTGCCCGCCGACCGGGCCGACATGCCTCAGTCGGCCTTGGAGGGGCAGCCCTACGGCCCCGTCGAGCCCCGACGACGGCGAGCGACCTTTGACGGGACGGACAGCGGACGACCTCGGCCCGGCCTGCCAGCGCCTGCAGACCGCCAAGGAGCACGCGGGCTCGGAAGGACCGCCCCCGAGGACGGCCTCGCGCGATCGGGCGGCCGTGCCCGACGGCGGAGCAGCGCCGGATCCGAGCAGGAGGGCGCTATTCGAGGTCGGCTCCCAGAGAAGCGACGCAGACCTCCATCGTCACCGAGAGGATCAATCGCAAGCAAGCCGACAAGGAGATCAACTGGAGGGCCATCAAGGACTCCGACAGGGAGCTCTACCGAGAGGCGGCGGCCTAGCAAAGGAGCGAGTGGCAGATGTACGGATCCTGTCAGGTGCTCACCATCGAGGAGTCCGAGGCGGTCAGGGGCAAGGTCAAGACCAACCTCATCTTGCCCAGCCCGTTTGTGCGCCGGGATAAGAATGCGCCGCCGCGGGCTGACAAGCACCCGCTGCCGGTCAAACCCAGTGCCCGACTCTGCGTCGGGGGTCGCATGGGCCCGCGTCTCGCTCAGGACGTCCTGCGCACAGACGCGCCTACGGTCACCCGCAACTCGACTATGCTGTTCTTCACCGTCTGCCAGAGGTTCGACCTGGAGATATATGCAGCGGGCGTGGAGGCGGCTTTCATGCAAGGCGACGAGCAGCCCGGCCAGCAGTTGCGCATGGCTCAGCCCCGCGAAGGCTGACTTGGGATGCACCCGAAGCAGTTGATCAAGATCCTCAAGGGAGTCTTCGGGCTAGCCACCGCATCTTGCTCGCGGTGGAGAAGCTAGGTGGCTACGTGTTCCGACTTCGCAGCGTTCGCTACATCCAGCGCTGTACTACGGCTGCGACAAGCACGGGGGGCCATGCGCGGTGGTGGTCGCCCACGTGGACGACCTGCTACTGAGCGTCTCGCCCAAGTACCCGACCCTGTACGACAGGCTCTACAAGCTTCCGCCGTGGGGCGACTGGAGGGGTTTGCCATTCACCTTTTGAGGCAAGCAGGCGCGGCGCGATGAGGAAGGTGCCCTGCGCCTGCGCCAGACAGAGCGCGCGAACACGATCGAGGAGATCGCGCCCAGCAAGGAGCGAAAGACGGAGCTGTCGGCGGAGGCGACGCCCGCCGAGTTTTCGGACAACCGCTCCGCCCTCGGAGCGCTTGGATGGCTCTCGCGTGGGTGGCTCTCATCGCAGACTCGACCAGACCTGTCAGCTGGAGTGGCCATGGGACAGTGCACCCAGTAGAAGCCCACCATCCAGGACCTGCTCGAACGAATCGGCTCATCAAGCTGGCGCGGAAACGCGCGGACGTGGGACTGGAATTCCCGAAGCTACGTGGACCGCTTTGCCTGGACACTTGCCACGACGCTAGGCGGGCCAATGCTGACGAGCCTCCTGAAGGCGTCATAGCTACGTTACTCACCAATATCGTGGGCACCAAAGACAAGAATCTCAAGATCCGCTCGCAGGCCGGCTACGTGACGTTCATCCCAGAGCCAAGCTGTTGTGCGGCGACAAGGCGCGAGCGGGAATCGTTGATTGGCGATCAGGCACCATCAAGAGAGTTTGCAGGTCTACTTTGGCAGCTGAGACAAAGTCAGCAGTAGACGCATTACGCTGTGCTCAGACCACACGCTGTGTTTTCATTTCGCTTGAGATACCGAATGCTCATCCAGAAGATATTCCCCCGAATTTGCTGCCGCTTGCTCAGGTCACAGATTACGCAAGCTTGTGCGGTACGATGCACAAAGACGGTTATTCCAAGCTCCCGTCAGAGCGGCGCCTTTTGCTAGACCTAGTAAGCCTCAAGGAGTCAACAGAACAGGAAATAAGTAACGAATTCGTTTCCGACGATCAGCGTAGCCAGCTGCCTCTGTTTTGGGTTTCCACCAACCAACAGCTCGGAGATCAGTTTACCAAGCGATCTGACGGCAGTGCCATCAGGGCAGTGCTGCGAGCTACACGCCTCGCATTGCAGCATCAAGAGCCAACCTATCAGGCCCGAACGCACGAGGCACATGTGAACAGCGCGGGCTCGCTTTTCAAGCGCGCCATACGCCTGGTTTCAGGATAGAGCGCAGCACGCGCTCGGTTTCAGCTTAGTTGGTTGACGTGAGATTTGACACGCCGAAACGATCTAAAACCAGAGACGCACATATCATAATAATTCTGCACGGGTGATCTATATATATATATACATACATATATATATATATGTATATAGTGTGTCCGTGCTGATTTGTACGCAGTGTAGAATACCAGGCAAGCAAACATGCAGAGTGTTTTGGCCTTTGCTGTGCTTATTTGGGCTCAATCCTTTTCAGGGACCCTTGAGCTTGGGCGTATCGGCAGGGACCACCGCGGCTTCCGCCAAGCAACCATCTCCCGCCATCAATTGCGGATATGAACGATATCATTGCTGTACTTGCCGACACACAACCTCGCGGTTATTATTGCAATACGACCCCGCTTTGCAGTATTGGGTCTACAGCCCCTTTGGGGCCCCTGCTTGCTCCACAAGAAGCCCTCAAGGGCTCCGTTGGAGTCCTTCTCTGCACCCCCCCTTCAGGCCACCTCCCATTACCAACCGCCGGACTCGACCTGCCTGAACGACCACCGCTGCCGGTTTGACGAGGAGTGCGGGGCTGGCCTTGATTGACCAAGACTGGGACCATTAACCCTCTGGAAGGGGACCTACGCTTGGAGGGCAATGGACATCAGGGTCAGAGGGTGTGTTCTGCAAATGCATCGAACCACACGGACGAGAATTATGATCCCTAATGCAGCAACGGGGACCTCCAGTGAGTCCACGTCTTCATCGTGTCATGAAGGTCAAGGGCTCTTTGTAGGGGAACGAAAAATGGCATGCACATAAAAACTCAGAAGTCTGGGCGGATTTCTTGGATCCGCGCTGGACCTCCCTTCCTGGCGCGCGAGGCGCGCCAAGGGCGGCGCCGGAGGCGCCGCCAGGGGGCCCCGGCGCCGACCCGAGAAACCCGCGCGGACCTCAGAATTCTCGTTTGAATCGGGCCGGGCGAAAGGGGGGGATAGCAAAGAGGGGGGGGGGGGTGAGAATCGGCTTGCGTAATTAGCTGATTTTCCTGGCGCCTCCCGGCGCCGGAGGCGGCCATGTATAGAGGAGCGGGCCCCTCGATGAGACCGAAAAATCAGCTGCATGCAGCAGACTTCGTACACCCCCCCTTTCCCAATCCCCCAAATTGTTCGTTCCCCTACTTCCTCCTCCTCCTCCTCCTTTTCCCCCTCCTCCTCCTGCGCACAACCTGAGGCGCCACAGAGTCTATGACACCACAGCCGTTACATGGCGTGGCTGAGGGCGCACCTTGCAACCGCCCTCAGCCACGCACTTCGGACAGGGCCCGCGTGGGCCAAGCATCTGCCGCGAGGCAACTTCGGGCAGAGGACTGCGCGCGGCCAGACCGCCAGCGCACGCTAGAGGGCCATGCGGGACCAGCAGAAAGTGGGCCCCAGCTCTAGCCCGTCAAAGAAAGAAAAGAGAGGGGAGGGCGGGCCGAGGGCCACGGGGCGATCTCCCTTACTGGGAGGATCCCCGATGGCCAACGACCTGCCCCCCAGAGCGGGACCCCACGGTGGGGTCGGGCTGTTCTTGACCGTAAATTTCGAGAACATCGGGCAAAACGTTTGGAGGAGGACGAGGGCGGCCACTGGCAGCTCCCAGCAGCCGCTGAACAATGGCAGCACGCTCTGCTTCCGTGCGCTGCGTGCGCAGCTTGCGCACAGGCACGGTAGTGTCCGAAACAACTCCTCCGCCCCCGCTCAACGACGTCGACGGCGCGACACCACCTTCCTCCGCAAGATCATAGAAACACCGCCAGCAGGCCGCTGGGGTGCTGCCTCCGAGGTGGCAACACCTGCCTCCTCCAATATGTCACCAGCATCCACGCCAAACGGGTGGGAAGCCCCCGAAGGTTGGGTCGAGACATCAGTAGCAGCACTGTCGTCTCCAGCCTCCAACTGGGCGTCGTGAACATCTACTACGGCGGCCACAGCGAGCGGTGCCTGCGCTGCGACCCGTAGCACCTTGGCGCTGAGGCGAAACTCCCCTGTGCAGAGCCGCTTAACCCCTCTCAGGGCATGGTCTGTGGCCACGGGCGGGCACGGCTGGCTGAGAGCTGCAACGCGAGAGACTGCAAGGCTGCCACAACGCGCGCAGCCCACAACAGTGGGACCTTCACACAGCGCAATCCGAACTAGTTCATGCTTGCGCGCTCCATCCCCTAGCTGCCTCTGCGCTGCCAGCACACGAGACGCAATGTCAGATGGGACGGGATTGCGCACGACGAAAAGCCGAGGGAGACGCGGCCTGCCCCGATTGTGCCGCTTGGGGTGGCCACAATCGTCAAGCCCGTCACTGAGCCTGCCAATCCAGTCTCCCCAGGTCTTGACAACCTTGGAGCGAGCCTGCAGCTGCGCGCGGCTTTGCCGCGGCACTCGCGCAAAGGCAGCGGCGCTCTTTGCAGCGCGGTCTGCCATCACGTTGCCAAACTTGTGGCGCGCCGTGGCGCGCCCGTGCTGAATCTCTCCTAAGGCCGCATGACCTTTGACCTTCGAGAGCTCGACCCCCCCCCCCCCCCCCCCCCCAGTCGCCCACCAAACGCCAGAACTCCCGCCAGAGGCGAGCATGCGCTGCAACACAGGCAGTAGTGGCCTCGCGTCCACGTTCGTGGAAGCCATCCACGACAAAGGCTGAGTCCGAAACCATGCGCACTGGCGGCGCCGCGAAGCGCAGCACATGAATAACTGCGATGAGTTCGGCGGCATCAGTGCACTGCAGGAGGCCCAGCACGGGGCCAGAGCAAAACGAAACAACCTGAAGGCAATCGGGGTGAAGCGCCACGCACCCCCAGCCCGCGCTCGCAAGCCTGGGATATTCAGCGTCAAAAGCCGATCCATCAGGGTAGATATCGCCCGTGAATCTGTCAGGCCCTCCAAGCCCCCAGCACACGGGTCGCCCAGGCGGCGGCCTGACGAGTGCAGGAAACGGGACCAGACAGCGCTCAGCAAAGACGAGAGTTAGCGGCGACTGCGCCGCCCGCACTGCATTGACACGAAACGCAGGTGAGCCTTCGAGGCTGTCGAGGCGCACGCAAGAGCAGTGCCTGTGCAGCAGCGTGCCTTCGGCGCGGGGGCAGAGTAGGCACGTGGGCGTGGTATCGTAACCTTCAGCCCACTGACGCTTCTGGGGCCAATGTCCCCCAACCACGGTGCTGCGCAGGTGACCTCTCTGCGGTGCCGTGAGCTTACCCTTGGTGCTGAGCAGGGCCTTCAGGGGGCTGAGTATGACACCGTTGCGAAACTCAGGGGGGCCCAAGTGGTCAGCAACCTTGGCGAACTGCCAACACTCGACGGCACGGCGCACGAGCTCCTGGACCGTAACAGGGCAGTAGTCCATGGGGTTGATGACGGCCCCATCGGGCCAAGCCCAGGAGGTAGCCGAGGTAGCCGTAATCCCCGCACGTTTAAGGGTAGCCCACACCGCGCTGAAAGGGCCCCTGATGGAAGACCAAGGGCGCTCAAGGACCGAGAGCCGAACATGGGCCTCACGGAGGCCGAAGTCCAGGGCGCCCCTAGGAAACCAAGAGTGCCACAGAGCGTGGAGGAAGGCTTTAACGGGCAACCACGCGGCCCTAAAGATGGGGTCCAAACGGGGCACAGGGGACAACAACAAGGCCAGGGTGCGAGATTTGCCATCCACGCGATGGTCCTGAAGTTTACCAGCAGCACCTCTAAGAACCTCTAACTCCTGCCCGTTGGTGCCCACCACGGCGGGCCCATGCAAAACGGGGGACTCCAGGGCACGTCGAGCCATGCGTCCAAGCACGCGGCGACGAGGTTTGGGGCCCTTGAGGATCGGCATGCGCTGCCGCCTCCTGCCCATGGCCTTGACACGGGAGGCGGACGTGGCCTTGCCCCCTCCAGCGAGCCCAGAGGAAAAATCCACGCCAAGGTTTCTCTCAGCTCTAACGGGCAGGGGTTGGAGGCCACGGAGCTTCGAAGCGATCGAAGCTCGAACGGCAGGCGAATTCCCAAGCACACGGGACTTGTCGACAGCAATCCTAAGGTCGACGGCCTTGGGCTCGCTGTGGAGTTTCCTGCCCGCACCGACGATGCCTTGCACCACTCTCGACTCTGCGCCCCGTCTCATGAGGCCAAAGCCGTCAACATTAACCGACAGCTGGACCGTCGGGAAGGAAGCCTGAACAGCG